AGTGTGATGTCAGTCTTATGCAGGAGAAGTGAGATGAACTAAAGTTACTTGACTGAGTTAAAAGTCCCATTGCAAAATCTTATGATGATGTGAGTTGGTGAAAAAAGCGATCTGACCATAGACTGTAGCCATCATGATATTACTGATAATCTGGACACTAAAGTCCATTCATACTTGGGCCACATGGAAGAAGTGTCTTGCTCATGCCCTCCACAAGCATATGCAAGTTTCTAAAGAGTATTTTCTATTAGGGGTGGGGGATAATTACCAAAGAATCCCAAGAAATCACTATATTCTCACAATAATATAGCAATAAATCGTATTTCTGTTGGTCGAGGATAATAATTCACATTGAATGGGAATATATTTTTTTTTTGATATTTTAATGTATTCTTTGTAGGTGCTGCATGTTGAGTATTCAATAAATTTGAACTGAATCAAGCAGTGAGAAAAAAAACTAAGAGATTGTCCCCAAAACTAACAGGACGTTCCCAATGATATTCAGACATGTCCTCAGGGAACTGTGTCTCTCTATTCGCTAAGTAAAAGTGAAAGTACTGACTTGAAAGTAAAAATAGGCCTTACACTTTTGGCTCCACCATCTACTGCTGTCAGTCGTGACAGTTGGTGCTGGGATCCGCCTCAATTTAGTACAAGTTTATAAAAAGTAATCCGCACCCATTTCCCCCCAACATGCTGTAAGAATACAAACACCCATTTCTTTGAGTCACACAACAGACTGTCCTAAACAAAAACTTACACGAATCACACAACAGCTGTAACAATTTTTGGTAAATGGCTTGAAATGAATGGACTTAGTGTTGCGTTTTCTTAGCAAATGGTGCTTCCACATGATTACTTAGGAGTCAAATCCAGCAATCTTTTTGACTCATTGAAATAACTTTTTCCAGATGTGATGTGATGATCAACTAGATGTGGTACAGCCAAATGTACGGAAGTGTATATTTTAAATTATCCAGTATATTTCTGGTGGTGGTATTTCAATCAACTCTATTATCTAAAAGTAGGGCTGCATAATTATATGAAGTAACAATTAAAACACTTTTTGTTTTTTGAGAGAGAGTTACTTTCTATCTTTAATTGGTAAATGTGCTTCAAAACCATACAAATATATATTCTCAATTATAGATTTTTTTATTATAAATCAATTCTTACATATAGCAACTTATATTTGATATATTTATGCGATGTACTACTGAAATTGTGGTTGTACTATAGCTTAAAGTGAATACTACTTTTAAAATTGGGAAGTGAGGATGACATTGATTCAAATCATTGCCATTGGTCCAACTATTTTCCTCCAGTAAATCTTACTGGTCGTAGTGATGCCAGAAGGAGGGAAAATATTATAAGAATAGCTTTGAAATGTACTCAAAACTTTAAGTTTAAAATCACTTAAAATCTGAAATATGTGTAAATATTGTAGTTAATTGGTTTGTGTATTATGTATAGTACATCTTCACTCTATACTTAAGACATCTTAAATCACATTTCAATCTGCTAAAATCGTGAAGCCCTATCTGAAAGCTGTAAAGGTGCAGTTCATGCAAGCCGTATGCTTTGCGTAAGATTATCCTGTGAAAGTAAATAATCCAGATGTTGACCCAGATTTTTCATCTCATGATTTTTAACGTGCCCTTTAAAAAGGAAAAACTAGACTAGATTACATTGTCTGATTTCATTGGAAAGGTATGTGGCTAATCCCTAAAGAAAAGTGATAGTAATGCGATTGTTGATGCATTTCCTCGCTCGTGTGGTCGGGCCCCTCCCCCATGCTTTAACACATAGCCCACTTTAGGCCTTTTAGTTTTATTGGCTCCTCTAAAGTGCTTTTCCCAGTGTATCTGTCCGTGATGAACAAGGCCATAGATTCGGGCTGCATAGACGGGCTCCGCAAAGAGGTTGGCCCCATACACTGTCACTTTAAAAAGGGAGACCTCCTGTTTCCATAAATCAAAGTGGACATTGAGAGGGTTAAAAGGTTACCGGGAGAGGGGAGGGCTCCTATGGGAACAGCGGACCACACCCCGCCCCGCCAACCCCCCCCTTACCACCCACTTCAGCATGCCGCGCATTCTGCAACAGCCTGGCGGACTGAGCAACAGGCACAAATAGACACCGTGGAGGGGAGGTGGAGCGAGAACGGGGGAGATGTAAAGATTATGTGATGCTTCTGTTTCCAAAGCAACAGTGTATGTTTATCACTTACTCACTGTTTGATTGTTCGTCTTAACACGAGAATTTGGCGGCTCCTGACTCCTGTGCATTTGTGGTTTTCATAACTTTCTTCTGCATCGTTGACAGAACTTATTTCATTGAATGCTTTTAAGTTCATATTCATCCTTAAAATGTAACACAATTTATTTGTTGGTTCATAGTTTTTGAGCAGATTAAAGCAATTTTGGCTCAGTTTACTTCCTCGTATGGTGTAATTATCTAGAACCAGAAAATTATAATCCTAAAAATTGCCAACTGGAATTAATATTACTGGAGTTTATATGTTTTAGTATTTTGTTTATGTTGTATGTTTTAAGTGTTGACTGCTGTTTACTCAATAAAAATTTAGTGATTTGAACTCATTGAAAGTCCTGGAAAAAATGAGCCCCATTACTTAAGCCAGTATGTTCATTTATACAGACTCATTCGGATCGATCAATTTTGAAGGAAAATGAAATCTGCTTTTGCCGACAGTAGACTCTGTTAATGGGGTGACAGGATCACACCATGTTTTACACTGTCTTACGCCAACACATGCAGTGTTTTAATGAGAAACACATGTTGGGCAGGCCACTTATGACTTACGTATTTGAGCAGTTCTCTGCAAGTATAGGCCCAACTGTTCAACTCTGCATCATAATGTATCATGGCTGTAAATGCCAGCAACCATCTGTTGTGTGTGGTTTGCATATTTGGAGATCACATAATGGCAGAATCAATTAAAAACAAATGTACTAATAAGTGATCAGTGGGCATTTCATTTTTTCTCTAATACAATACACTTCTGACATTTATTTTTGTAAATGTAATTGGACAACCAAACATCAAACAAATGCCTCTAGAACTATACTATGCTAGTAGTGTGCATGGCTATGTACATTAGCTTTGTGTCTTTGCAACCATATTTAGAAGAGACCAATTTGGTAAACACATGTTCATTTTTCACCTATTTGTTTTGTCAAGTTGAGAGAATATGGTTAAAATGGTAGCATGGCATGATATAGCTTAATGTTGTACAATGATTAAGTTTCCAGTCAAAGTTCTGAACGTACTGTTTAGCAATGGAGCATTTTCTTGTGCTGCGCAGGCCTCACTCTTGGGTCTAACCACAGGCGGATTTCTTCCATGTTACTGTGATTCTAGTCGAGAAGGAGCCATGTGAGGCTTCCCTCAAGTGACTCAGATTTCCCACATACCATAATGATGGCTCAAAACCCCATAGCTTTTTGATGAGCTTCTTTACGCCTTTCTTGTGTGAAATCTGCCATTTGTTAGTGTTTATAAAGGGTCCACACTTCCTTTTTGTCACAAGTTATTGATCACAAGTCTCTGATTAAACTCTGGGTTTCATCTTAAAAGTGAATTTAAATTTTTGAGTCATACGTATAGTGATTCATCTTGCCCATGCGGTGAGGAGTTGGGAGTTCACTTAAAGTTAGAAAGTCATTCTGTGTGTGTGTTGGATTTCAGTGCTCATAGCAGTGTACCATGTTGATCTGGTTGCCAGGCAGCGTCTGGCCTCAGCTCCAGAATGGCCCCGGCTGAGAATGGACAGAGAAGACGGTTAATCCCATTTTAGCACAATTTCAACAGCTCCAACCACAGCCAACCAGCCCCAAGCCGACATTTAGCGAGGATGAGTTGATGTCTTAATATTTGCTTTGATGGACTGTAAAACTTCAAGGACAAAAAGTTTATTTGAGTTGTTCTTTGTTGTAAAAGGTCTTCCTCTGTTTGTGCTAAAGTAAATACAAAGTAAGTTATATAGGTTATATATTTAGGATTTCTCAGTCCAAACAAAAGGTTAAGCTGGTGGTGAGATGAGTAAAAATAAAATACTCTTCACACTTGTGAGTGGACCTGATATTCAATACCAATGTTGATACCAATTGATGGTTTTAAAATGCTTGTTTTTCAATAAGCTGTCATCAACAACAAAAAAAATTCACAAAATATTAAATATTGCTTTGTGTGAATTCAACAAGTTTGAAGATCTTAAACTGAACCACCTTTTTTGTAACTTGTCTAAATATGTATATTGTTCTTGTGAGTAATGTTATGTGTACTATTCTGTAATGTGTAATGCAACCCAATAATTTCCCCACTGTGAAACAACACAAAAGTTCCCTTATTTTAACTTGACTTGTCAATGTTAAGCAATGTTGAATACTAGTTTTAATGTTTGAATAGCTACCGTGTAAAAGAAAAGTTGTTGGATTAGAAATACGATGTAATTTAATCCTTTTAGTAATTGGTTCTAAGCTGATAAATCGATTTTACTAAAATGGTTGACGACCACTTCAATAATACATTTTGCGATTGAACTTGTTACAAAAGTGGAGAACCTTCACTTTAAAATAATCGTAGGACCTTACTTTGTCCAAAAACTTATGTTTGGAATCGCTTAGTTCAGATATAATCCTGTGGTTAAATTCTTTTTGTAAACATGTTTCTCCCCCTTTAAATAAATGGGTCAATTGGGAGGAGGCAAATGTGGGGAATCACTGGATGTTCCTAATGTGGAATGACTCATTGGCATTTGCACACAAAGCCAGAGGAGGAAAATACTGTGTACATTTCTTAGTTTGCAGAAAAAGTTCTATCTTTGATCAGTCTTGAGCTGTTTGTTTTAATTCCCTCGCGCTGTAAGCCATCTTATGTAACCAGTACTATCACCATCACCCTAAATCACCTTTTGCGGCTTTTCTGAATGACTTTCATGTTGTGTTTTTTTTTAAAGGAATATAATGTTTGTGTTGCAGCTTGCCGGAGGTGTGATCCTGGGCGTGGCCTTATGGCTGAGGCAGGACCAGACAACCAGTACCATTTTGGGCATCGAGTTTGAAGGCGTGCAGGCTCCCAACACGTTCTACATCAGTATGTACACAAGCTTTCTACAACTAGAGCTGAAAAATACTGTCCAAATAATAATGGTATAGTCTGGTCCAATTGCAAGGTATATTTTGAGTTGAGTGCAGTGGGGACGGGTCCCGGCTCAAAAGTGGCCTAAATGACGTGCGCTGACATGCTTGCAATACCACCCCGGGCCGATGGGGGTGGACCCAGAATAAGAATTAGCCAATGCTAACATATAGCATCTTCTTAACTGTCAAACACCTTTACAGGATGGTCCAAAAATTGGCTCTTGTGTATTGATACTGAGGGGAGTGAATTTTATTGGATGAGTCTAGTTTACTCGCTGTGAATTTTTGAAGTCACTCGTTTAAATGAATGGGGCTCGTGCAGCTGACGTACGGAGCCCCTCTGATGACATGGTAAAAAAAAATTTATATTGTGGCCACAAAATAACTAATTTGTTCCCTCAAAATACTAATTTGTTCCCTCAAATTACTAATTTGTTCCCTCAAATTACTAATTTGTTCCCTCACATTACTAATTTTTTCCCTCAAATTACTAATTTGTTCCCTCAAAATACTAATTTGTTCCCTCAAATTACTAATTTGTTCCCTCAAATTAGCAACAAACGTGGGCGCAACTCTAGCATACCTTCTGTACAACCTGCATTACGTACTTATGGCGAGTGTCTTATGATATTCTGTTATTGTTAATATCTTGTTTTCCCATGATAAGGCAGTTATTTATTTAGGCCTGTGTTTGCTGACGTCAGCTCTCAATTCTCTGGTTCGCAGTACTTGCTCCTGTGATGTAGCTTCTCTCCGCTGCTCTGTCATCCATGTAATTTCTCCGTAAATACCGCTGAATGTCTCTAACCACCACGTTCTCAGTGCCCATGTCAGTTCGTACGAGCCTGGGGCAGCCCCCACGGCGCTCCACTGCTTCTACAAAGTACCCCCCAATAACTTTAGGGTTGCTGTTAGTGAAGGTGGCCCGCAGCCAAATAATGTTGCGTGAGAACCCGTCGATGCAACCATTAATACATATCCCATATGGCTTCAGCTTGTCATATGAATCTATGTGCCACACAAAGTTCGGTCCCTGAGCAAAATATTGCCTCCTTCGGAGACGTCTGCGCTTGCGAGCTTGGGAACCGATGGGGTCCAGTAAAGAGAGGAGGATCCTGACGTCTTCTTTTTTTATAGAAATACCGTGTTGTTTACACGGCTAAACATCCACCGGTAGCCGTGATCCTTTCCAGGGCCTTGCAGTTGGTCAACAATAAAATCAATGCCGGCGTCCAAGTCATACCTTCGCCTGTAAAGCAACCTGGCTCTCAATATTCTGTTTAAATGTCTCTCAGTAATGATGGTTCCTTGCAAAGCCAGGCTCTTCAAAATGTCTTTGTAGCTCATTCCCAGCCTAAAATAAAATTCTATTATACTGTCCCTGTCCATGGTGTAGCTTTAGCCCTACTAATGCCTCTACCTTAACCCTTAAAGAAGTTGTAGCTATATATTAGTAATTTGAGGGAACAAATTAGTAATTTGAGGGAACAAATTAGTAATTTGAGGGAACAAATTAGTAATTTGAGGGAACAAATTAGTAATTTGAGGGAACAAATTAGTAATTTGAGGGAACAAATTAGTAATTTGAGGGAACAAATTAGTAATTTGAGGGAACAAATTAGTTATTTTGTGGCCACAATATAATTTTTTTTTACCATGTCATCAGAGGGGCTCCGTACTGACGCATGCGCAGATGCGTATTTTCACATTTTCCAGCCCCCGCTGCCATTTTGAATCTCTCCATGAAAGCCCAATTAGTTACGTTAGAACGGCGGAGATAGGCGTGACTACGTCCGTTAATATATACAGTCTATGGGTGAGTGTTTTATATATTTTGAGTTCAATGTACATCATATCTTAATTATTAACTATTCCTACATAACATTTTCTAGCTATACATTTATGTACAATTACTTAATATTTTACATTATATAAACTCAAAGGAGTGGAAGGAAGAAAAATCTTATAAATTCCCACCCCTGTGAATATTATATAAATTCTCACTGCAGAGGTTATATCTTGGCAAAAAATTGGTTACATTTTTAAATTAGGTTTAAAAATTTATGAGCTATATAATTTCAGTGGTTCATTTGACGTTCATTTTACAAGAAACCAAGAAACAAATGTTTGTACATTTGTTTGCATCATTACTATTGCAACACATAATCAGTCTCACGACGGTCTAAACCCAGCTCACGTTCCCTATTAGTGGGTGAACAATCCAATGCTTGGTGAATTCTGCTTCACAATGATAGTAAGAGCCGACATCGAAGGATCTTTCCACATTGGCAAAAGGTTCTTTTGAACTAAAATGTCCATCCATCCATCCATCCATTTTCTACCCTTTAATCCATTTCTGGGTCAGGGGGGTGGCAATCAGAGATGCCACCCAAGTCTCATAGCACCAGCCCCTCACTGACCCTCTGCAGGTGGTGAGTCCACAGGAGGACGGCTGCTCTCTGAGTGTGAGCATAGCCTTGATCTTTCAGCGGGGGCTTTAGGCAAAGTGGGGTTAAGTGTCTTGCCCAAGGACACAACGACAGCAGTCATCAGTGGGAGTCGGTGGAGAAGGTGTCGAGGTGGGAATTGAACCCACGACCTTCAGGCCTGAAGGCCAATGCTCTACCAACTCTGCTCTACTGTCGCCCACCGAACTAAAATGTCAAAGTAAATAAATTGCACATCTTGATTTTGGTACATTTTGTAGGCTTTAAAAAAGATTTGCAATGGGATATGCAACTGTTCTTCCTTTGAAGGGGCAATGCTTGCTTGGGCTGAGCAAACATATTTTCTGTCCTTGAGATATATTCTGAATCTAGATAAAAGAAAGTGATTCAACCATTTCCTTGTATATTATCAGTTGTTGCAGTTCTCTCAATCCAGCTTCATCAAGTAAACGGAACTGAAGTAGTCAAAACTGAATGAAATTGATAACAAAATATTGAATTTGTGTCATGTTAAATCATCTAGAAACATGTCTTTTTGCACTTTGAACTTAACCCAACTCTGTCAACATAAATCCATTTGCAATCACGGTTTTACAAAACAAATATGGCAGATATACACTACCATTAGTGGTCACAGGGCATTGAGTCAATATGAAAGAGACGGCTGTAGGGATAGTTAGTTTTCTACACAGCATAAACCATATTTAATTTATCACTGCATAAATTTGTCATTTATCATTTATTTATCATTTTAAAATGAAAAGTAATTCTGAAATATCTAAAACAATTCCAGCAACATATAAATTGTCAGTTGCATTTAGACTAGGGCTGTCAAAGTTATCGCGTTAACGCGCGTACATTTTTTTTACGCGATTAATGAAAAAACATCTTTAACGCATGTGCCAAGTGACTGGCACCCCGCACGCATGACCACGGGGCACTTGCTGTGAATGGGAGTCTGCAGCGGTCTGGGCAGCTGCGGCCACTTTGGACAGCAGTTCACGTGTGCAGTAGCTGTGAGCGGCTTTCAACAACACGGGAGCGCGCAGCCGTAACGTGGCCATGGACCCAATGCCATATACACGCACAGGCGTGATCAGTGCACACAATAAAAACAGCGCTGCAAGAAACAGTCAGTCTCCCCCTTGTAGTAGTAGTAGTAATGTTTATTTATATAGCACATTTTACAGACCAAGGTCACCCGAAGCGCTTTACAATGTTCAGAGATTGTTCCAATCATTCCACACACGGTGATGACGGAAGCGAGTCACCGAACACACTGGCGCATCAGCCCCCAATCAACACCATCCATTCACTCTCTCACTTGCATTCATACCTATTGTGCATGTTTTTAGTGGTAGGGGAAACCGGAGCACACGGAGGAAACCTACGCAGACACGGGGAGAACATGCAAACTCCACTCAGAAAGGCCCTGTTCCGACCGGGATTTGAACCCAGGACCTTCTTGCTGGGAAGCGAGAGTGCTATCCACCGTGCCGCCACGGCTTCTCCTGAAGCGAAAAAAAGCCGCTAAATTAAAGCTGGGATACCTAACTTTTCATTTGCACTACCATTTCATGTTGTTTGTGCCCAAAAATGAAATGTTGTGAGCAAATCAAACAGTTAATGACAGCCATTGGCTGACATGCATTTCTGACTTTTTTCAAATGTCCCATTCTCATCCCTGTAACAAAGAATTGATTATAGAGGCACAATAATGAAGAGGATCCACAGCCTTTGAGATAGAGAAGAAGAAGAGGGGGCTTTAGCAGATGCGGAATATCTCGAAAAGACAGAATGTTAATAATGTTAATGCCATTTTATGTGGCTCTATTGCTATAATAAACACATACAGTACATATGTAAACTATGTCATAATTTATCTTTCCATTCAAACAACCATTCACAGAAAAATATGGCATCATTTTGCCGATAGTTCAAAATGCGATTAATTACGATTAATTAATTTTTAAGCTGTAATTATCTCGATTTAAAAAATGTAATCGTTTGACAACCCTAATTTAGACATGACAATGAAAATGGCCTAGTTTCCACAAAAGGTCTTGCTACTTCTACCTAACTTTACTTTGGGCTTAGTTGGTGGAAAGAAAACATTAACTTGTGTCTTGTAAAAGGAAAACGGCAGGGAAGCACAAAAAAAAAAGAAACTCCACCTGGAAATATTCATAGCCAGCACCAGACCACACAGTTTGCAGTTTAAGAAATTAGGACAACCTTATTTAAATGGTGAAAAGAAAGTTTATATATCTGTATGAGTCAATATTCACTATGGCTTGCCTTTCAAACCGTCAAATCAATTCATAAAGACTGTTGTATTGACAATAGAATTAAGTGAACGTGGCATCGTCTTCTCATACGCCATTACTGCAGGTATGTAACGATAAAGCTACATCAATATTAATGTCGTCTACAAATGGACATCCTTTAGTTGGTGAGGCTGTATTGATTAAGACATAAAGTGATATTCATTATTAATAAGATGGAG